ATGTCCTGTTTAAAAACTCCTTGTGATGATTTGAAAGAAAATGGCCCTGAAAGGGGGTGGCACTATTAGGAGGTGTGGCTTTGCTGGAGTAGGTGTGGCCTTGTTGTAGGAAGTGTGTCACTGTGGTGGTGGGCTTTGAGGTCTCCTTTGCTCAAGCTTCATCCAGTATCACTGTTCACTTTCTATTGCCTGCGCATTAAGATGTAGAACTCTCAGCTCCTTCTCCAGCACCGTGTCTGCCTGCATGCCGCCATGTCCTGCCATGATATTAATGGACTAAACCTCTGAAACTGTAAGCACCCCAATTAAATGTTTTCCTTTGTAATGGTTAAGGTGTCTCTTCACAGCAATAGAAATCCTAAGATACTGTTCTTCTCAGAGCCTCGACTCTGCTGCCTACTAAGTTTTGGAACTCTGACCTGCAACAGTTTGTGCCTTCTACACAAGCCCCTCGGGTATGTTCTTCAGTACCTGCAACCTGGGGCCATTCTTTGCCTTCCATCGAATCTAGGGTTTCTAGGGTCTGGTCAGGCCTGCTCTGGTTCCCAATTCCTCCCCACCTCTCCCCTACTCTACAAAAGGCAAGGCCAGCATAGACTAGCATTCTGCTGCTGTCTCTTTCTCGTCCAATGCTTTGACCTGTTCCCTTCCCTATCACTCTTTAGGTAAACTCCTTGTAGAGACCATCAGTCTTGTCCTTCTTTCCTTCCCTCCCTCCCTCCCTTCCTCCCTCTTTCCTTCTGTGTGTATTGCATATGGGCACATAAATACATGTGTGTATGAGGGCAGGCATGTATGGGGGCATCAAAAGACAACCTTGGGTGTCAGTCCTGATAAGGGTCTCTGTTATGGTTGGTTTAATGTCAGTTTGCCACACAATAGAATTACTTGGGTAGGGCACCCCATCCAAGAACTGTCTTGAGTACATTAATTGACAAGGGCAAACCCACCCTGACTATCGGTGGTAGTTTCTAATTGTTCATCACCATGTATGCCCATCAGCTTCCAGAGATCCCCCTGTCTCAGCTTCCCCTCATGTGATTGCAGGCATGGCTTACTGTGCCTGGTTCTTATGTGAGTCTGGAGATTCAATCTCAGAACCTCACACTTGAGTGGTGCTTTGTCCCCTGAGTCATCTCTCCTGTCCATCTTGGCTCTTATACACAGAAGACAACTTTAGGGACTTACTGAAGTTTAAATTGGAAGTCTATTTTATTGCACATTCTGAAGTTTGCATTTTCTTTCTTTCTCCTCCCTCTCTCCCTCCCTCCTTACCTTCCTTTCTTTTGACAAGTTTTCTCTATCTAGCTCTGGGTCCTACTTGTTTCTAGGTGGATGTTTCCTTCCCACAGCTGCTCCCAAATAATCACTCAGAGTGTTAATATTTATTACAAATGCCCAGTTAACTCAATCAGTAGAGCATGAGACTCTTAATCTCAGGGTCATGGGTTTTTTTCCCACGTTGGGCGCCAGATGAAGCCTTAATTATTATTCTTTATCAATAAAAAAATCAGGAGTCAGGTATCAGGGTAAGAATCTGAAAGATTAGAGAAGCAGAGGAGTGGCTACCAGTCCCCCCTGCCTCTTCCATTTGCTCCTCCAAAAAGGCTGAGATCTTCTCTCAGCCCTGCCTCACTACTTCCTATTTCCTGTCTGTTTGCAGTCTTCCAAACCTCCATGTTCAATTTTGGTCAGCTAGCAGCTAGCACCGCCCTCTGACTCCAAGAAAGTTTTAATTGTCAGAACATAATCAAAATATCATACAGCAATTGTTTTGTAGACCAGGTAGACTATGAACTCAGAGGTTCACCTGCTTCTGCCTCCTAAGTGCTAAGATCAAATGCATGGGCATGGGCATACACAAACACCCAGTTTGAAGTTTCCACTTTCAAGGTAGGCATGGCTTTGTTCTAGGAGGAATCTGCCCTTAGAGGCCTTCAATTCAGATAATTATGTATTTAAAAATAAGCACTCCCCCTCACAGCAAACTGCTGTCTGCCTCAAAGGTATCCAGTCACTTAGAGATGTTCTTCAACTCACCTATGAAGTGGGGTCTAGGGCCTTTTCTAGAATCAACTTTGTCTTTCCTCTCTTTCCCTTCCTCAGGGATCCTGAGTGATGGCTCCAGACACTGAAGGGTACTGCCCATTGCTGCAGGAGGAAGCAAGGACCCTATCTAAGCCAGTGTACATCCCTCATGGCTACAGATCTGGGGAGGTTAAGGGAAGAGGAAAGACTATTGTTTACCGAGGCAAGTGTGTGTTGTGTTAAGGTATGCCCACCCCATCCTCACTTACTCTAGACTCTGGGTGGATGATGGAGAGGACCATGTGTCATTGGATGATGCCACTTTCTGTGTCTCTCAGGCCAGGCATGCGCTCCTCACGTGTCCATCTACCCCCCCCCCACACACACACACAATGCAGTCACACCTGAAGCTTGACTGGCCTCCTCTCTCTAAAAGGAGGATCTGCAAGAGCTCCCCACCTTTCACCTTCCCTTGACACTCCTGCCCCCGTTGCTGTCTGTTGATTTTTCACTTAGCCGTATCTGGTGACACATGACTCCAGTACATGGGTTTGCATCAGCTAAGTTACAGATGTGCAGACTGGAAACAAATCTTTACCAGTTTTAAAACTTTAACTTCATTAATTTTTTGTTCCACGTGATTTATCTACTCATCTACATAGAGAACTGAGATGGCATGTAGCAGAATATACTTTAAAAATTAAATCAAGTGACTTCAGCATTTATTTGAAAATTAAAATGTTTGGGATAAACTTTCATGGAGTTCTCATTGTTTGCAATGGCCCCTGTTTCCAATGGCCATACACATGGAGGGAAGAGGGTATGGTTCAGAACACAGTGGTCCCCAGAGGGCAGATGTGTGTGTCAGTCACATCCCTACGTACAGGAAATGACTATTGACATAATCTCTAAGCATAATACTCAAGGTTATTCTCTAGTTTATAAAATGTTATGGCATAATTTATTATGAAACATTTGAGTGACTGACATACATTTCAGTGAACTGGTTTCTCTGATGAGTTGAAACTAAGACTTGTGTAAACACAGGAAGGGAAACCCTTCCGGGTTTATGTGGTTAGACAAGAATATTCCCAACTGTCCTGCCTTGCCATCTGTGTGGTGTACTCAGCCTGCAGGAAGCAAATCTACTGGATTTGTGAATTTCATAGGATTTTTGATTAAAATAGTCATGGGTAAGGCCACCAGCTACCACTATACAAGTACACAATCATTTCTCTGAGATATACAATTTTATAATATTTCTTTTGAGTTATTTTAAGAACCTTAGTTTCTTGGTATTTTTTAAGTTACAGGAACAAAGAAAAAAAATTAAAACTCCAAAGTGTGCAGCTTGGAGAAAAGATAGCAACCGTACACTACTGTAACTGTTGTCTGGAAGGCTTGTTGGAAAACCTCCAGCAAAGATTTTAAGAAAACATGCATTATTACCAGATTGGAGCAGAATCTACTGTTTCAAATAAAGTCTATGATCAATGTAATAGAAAAGAATATTTTTGTGAAGCCATGTCCCCAAACAGCCAATATATAGCTTTGGATCAGAAGCAATCTGATTTATACTTTTGCCTGCTGAGACGAGAAACAAGACATTTTTACACACAGCTAATAAACAGCTTGTCTCATGATGACAAACGTGACCCACCAATTGGAGAGTGATTCATGCATCACTGCAGAACCATTTTACCTGGGACCTTTGCCTCAGAAAGGCACCGTGAGACAGAGACCTAAGGAAAAAAAAAGACTAACATTTGTACTGAATCGTCTGCTCTGCTCCCTAAAAAAAATGAACATCTCATGCCTGGATACCTTCTCTTTAAATGAAAACAAATGATTCCTTTCATGAATATAAAATGAGGCCCTTTGAGAAAAAGAAATTGAATAATTTAAACTAAGACAATTTCAATTAAAATAATTAGCTGTGTATTTCAATCAGAAGTTATTTTTCTTTTGCAGTTTTTTTTTATTTCTTTTTTGTTTTGTTTTGTTTTGTTTTTCTTTTGAGTCAGGGCTTCCCTGTGTAACAGTTCTGGCTGTCCTGGAACTCACTATGGAGACCAGACTGGCCTTGATCGATCTCCTAGATTCTTCTACCTCTGTCTCTTTGAGTGGCTGGGATTAAAGATGTGTGCCATCATACCCGGCTCTTTTACAATTTCTTTTAAGTTTTTTTTTTAAAAGTATCCATGAACCAATAAGGAAATTAGTGTTGAAGTTAACACTAGCGCCAGATTACTATGTTTAGGTTTTGTTTTGTTTTAATCATTGTAAAACTGCACAGTCGTTCTTTATTAGCAAGCACTGTGGACAAGAGACTAGCCCCTTCCTTCTCTCCTTGACACTCAGCTCCACAACTGGACTTTTCTACTTCAGTCCTTTCGGGCAATTTGAAAACAAGTGTGCACTATCCCACACGGGCCCTGTGTTTGAGCACCAGGTTCTTTCTCAGCAGGAGGGGCTGTTTGGGAGGTTGTGGATTCAGGACTTAGATGGCCCCTGACGTGGGTCCTGAAGGTTATAACCTAGCTGCCTCCAGCCCATTCTTCCTGCTTCTTCTTCACAGCCTGGATGTGACAGACCGCCTCCTCTTCCAGCCATGACGAGATCAGTCACGTGCATTCCCTATAACCACCAACCAAAAGAAATAAATGCTCTCTCTCTGTTTGTTTACTTATTTTTATTTTATGTACATTGGTGTTTTGCCTGCAGGTATGTCTGTGTCAGAGTGTCAGATCGTGGAGTTGCAGACGGCTGTGAGCTGTCAAGTGGGTGCTGGGAATTGAACCCGGGTCCACGGGAAGAACAGCCATTGCTCATGTTTTGTCTCCTAAGGTGCTCCTGTCAGACAGTGGGTCACAGAGATGAGCAAGTTAGTGGACACATATACTTTTTAATGTAGCTTTATTAGTGAGTAGGTCACACACAACAAACTCAAATGTACATATTTTCATGGTCAGAGAAATGCAATAAAACTAGCTCTCTTGTTAGAAAAAAAAACTAGTTTTCTTTCTAAAATGGCATTTTCCAGCCCCCAAATTATCATCATAAAGAAATTTTAAATAGGAAATTCCAGTGGGAAGCTGCACGAAGTGAAAGAAATTTAACTGAGGATTTCTTGTGCAGATTATGGGGTAACACTGTGACCCAAAGATACTGGCCCTTGTCTTAGGTACTCTGTTGAGGACATCATAGAAATGACACAAACACTGAATAACTGTCTATCCTCCATGTACCATGTTCAAGTCATACAGAGACAAGTGAAAATTTAAAAGACCAATTTTCAAATTTTATCTTAATATACCCATTATTCTGCATCAAGAATTAAAACAGCCTGCCCTTTTGAACTTCAATTTGAAAATATTCAACTCTGAGATTTTCTAATCTTCCTAAAGCTGTTAGTATGTTTAGCAATCCGATAAAATGTTTTGGAAAACACTTCTTGAACACGAAAACATTTATAAGTAGGTAAACGGAAATGAGTTACAACATCAAAGGCAAGGTTCTGTTTAATAGGACAATTTAGAAAAGTAATAATTCAACAAAATCCTATCTTCTCCCCTTTAAATTCTATAAAAATTATGGGCAAACTAACAGACTGGCATAATTAGCAAAAAAACAATCATTTGATGAATTTCCCGCTACAAAATGTGGTGTTTACGGCTCTATTTAAGGTAACTTTAAAGAAAGCTTGACAGTTTCACCTCTGGCCTGACCTTGTCTAGCTAGTAGAACTCTGGCAGGCATGGCCAGCATTCCTACAACTCTCCAGCCTTTCTTCCAATAAAGCAGCAAGCACCAGCCTCACCAGGTGGCGAGCAGGGCAAGGGTTCTCTGCGTGCCCAGGGAAAGAGGCATCATGACAGGAGGCAGAACGGCCACAGTGGGCCAGCAGCACCGATTTTCTGCTGCAAAGACTGCTGGGGCTTGAGTGGCCAAGTCCTACTGCGGACCAGGGAGATCCCTGGCACGGATGAGACGGAGTAATACGAACTGGGGGGTGATAAGAGAAAGGTCAAACGATCCAGTTTAATCTAAGCCACTTCTGTTACGAAGACAACAAACCACGAGGTTCTATTCACTTCAAACAAAAAGAAAAAGCGCGGCCACATGTTGGATCATCTGCACAGCAGGCCTGACTGTCACGTGATCTTTAACTTCCCTGCTGCAGGCTACAGGAAAACTGAGGCGGAAATAATTGAGGTTTTTGACTGTTATGTAAATGCAGCCAAGTCTGCTAAGATGTCTCTTCCCTTGCCAATCTTAAATTGAGTTCAGCAACTTTAAAACAGGGTTCTCGAGAGATGAATGATCTTCACAGCTGGAAGCGGGTATCGTAAAGCAAGAAGAGATGGGGAGGACAAGTCGGCAAAGTTCATCTCTGCTATATTCCACTCTTGGGGTTCAGTGTGTTCCCCAAAACACGTTGCACTACTCATGGCTCATACAGGACTTCTCTGAGATTTTCCAACTTCCTAAAAGCTGTTAGCATATCTAACAACGTAATTAATGTTCTTCAAATCTATAATGTAAGTTACACTTCTTAGGTTTTAGAACATTTGTAATGACAAGCAATAAAGACCAATATCATCGAGGGCAGAGCTGTGCTAACTTTTTCACAAGGGTAGTTTTATCTTATTACATTTGTTTGTTTGGTGTATTGTGCAGTGTGCACGCCATCATGTGGAGGTCAGAGGACATTGAGAGTCTGTTCTCTCCACTGGCTGGGCAGTGTGACTGAAGTTAGGATGTCAGGCTTGGTGACAAGCTCCTCTACCTGCTAAGCCAGTAGCTGATTTTCTGACAGTCTCTTGCTGAACACAGAAATCCTAGGTATAGTCGGGTGCTTTCTGGGCCTGTGGTGCAGAGAGAAGAATCTGCTGCTTCCTATGGGGACAGACTCAAGCCTCAGTCTATCTGTGTCCTTAGTCTCTCTCAAGGTACAGATCACTGGCAGAACTCCCCAAGCAGTGCTGAAAATGCCACTTCCAGGAAGGCTACATCTGAGCCCGCCTAACTATCCAGGATGGGAAAGGAGATGGGGTAGCTATGTCAGGAAAAGGATGGTAAATCCCACACCCAGGGACACCTGAGTCCCTGTTCATACTGGTATTACTAGTGCCTTCCACAACTTGGATTGGAAGTCAGATCTTAATACTGACCAACTTTTTGAAAGGTAGTCACACCGTATTTCATAGAGAATACCATTTCTCACATTCCATATACATTTTCTATTTGGAAAAAATAAGTACAGACAGAAGTACTGTAACAATCTTTGTATATACACACACAGCCCAGATGAATAATGATCTTATATCTCTTAACTGAAATGGCCAACTCAAAGCACACACTGGCTTTCACAAAAATACTAGTATAAACACATTTGATTTATTTTTTGAAACAAGGTCTCACTGTGTAACCTGGTCTCAAACTCTATGTAGAGAAGGCTGAGCTTGAACTCACGGAGATCCGCCTCAGTGTCTTGTAGTGCTGGAATTATAGACACACAGCATCACATATTTTATTTCTTAAAACTAGAAAGGCTGTATTCATATCAGCTTTTAAGTTTGTAATAGACTACAGAAAATGAGGAAGGAAATGTGTGCATTCTTTTGGTTCATATAACTATATGCCTTTGTATGTCTTTCGTTTCTTCTAATAGTTTCTCTTTACTATGTAGCAATGACACAATGGCTAAATTAGCTATATATTTGTATACAGGGCTGATTATTCCATTCCACATTTATTCAGACAGATACATTTTGACATTCAACTACAGGTTTCAATGTAAACTTCAGAAACAGTTTGTTACGTCCAATATAATAAATACACAATTATTTCACAGTCTTTAAAAACAGCAGCCACCACTCTGCCAGGCCCTCCAGGAGACAGCCTATGGCTGTGAGGCAGTAGGAGTGTTGCTATGATTTGCCTTTTCTCCAGAGACAGGGTGCTTCAGGAATTGACCCGTGGCGCCAATGTACAGTCTTGATCGCATGGGCCACTTCTGAAAAAAGAGTAAGTAAGAATCTGAAAGTTAGTCTCTATGCCATACAACATAGGTGTGTAATGTCTAGACTTTAAAACACATTAATGTTAGTGAGGTACTGTTTAGTGTCTAAGGATTCTAATTACAAAGTCCATGGGACAAGATGAAGACTCCTTAGCAGAGCGAACGATACAAGTGAAGATGGCTTTGATTATAACTGTAAAAATAGCCAGGTGGTGGTGGCACGTACCTTTATTCCCAGCACTTGGGAGGCAGAGGCAGGCAGATCTTTTGAGTTTGAGGCCAGCCTGGTCTACAGAGTGAATTTCAGGACAGCAGACTATACAGAGAAACCCTATCTCAAAAAACAAAACAAAACAAAACCCAACAACAACAAACAAGACCACAACAAAACCAATGTAATGTGTATTTGACAAGAACTGCAAGAAGTTAAAGAGAATGAATATTACTGAGATGTAGAAAGTCTACCACTATGTTTTAATTCCAAGTTAAAGCTAAAATTAAATTAAATTTAAAACATTAGTCTTAAAGAAGCTGTGCTCAGTTATAGACAAAGCAGACATTCAAGGACAGTAACATAGTATGGAAAGGACTAGGGCAGCAAGAGCAGGCAACTTCACAAAGCAGTCCATAGTCTTTAGTTTAGGTTTTCTGTCTCAGGGTGAGTGACTATAGATGGCAATAATGTACTTTTTAATTTTTGATACACCTGAAGAAATGATTTTGAATATTTATAGCACAAATGGGCAATGTCTACAGAGAGAGATTATTCTGATTGAACATCATATAATACACACAGCATTGTATCCCACAAATATGTAAAATTTTCACATCATTAGTGAATACAGTCCTGAATGTGTTCTCTCTACTGAGGTATACTCATTTTATTTTCAACTTGTTATAAATCACATGTATTATAAATTCCTAGGTTTGCATACAAAGTAATAAACATCATTATGGCATCTTCATATGCACACATATGTCATTATACTTTCTTCTCTATTCTAAAGTATATTTGAAATTATGCAGTTTTGCTTAAAGTTAGAAAAATCGAGCCATTAACCAGAACTGAGCCTGAAACTGAAGATCTTTTAAAAATGCGTTCTTATTTTAATTAAATGACCACAAACAACAGGACCTCACCGTTTTTCTTTTTGTTTTTTGTTTTTTTTAATTCTTGCTTATCATTACTATGGACAATGATTCTCAGGGGACCCAGCAATTAGCAGAGTCGGCTGTGCTTTTCTCTGAGTTAAAGGCCTGAAATACACTCCCATTCTCCTGGAGAATTGTCCCTCTGGGCCCCTAGTGCTGATTGAAACTGCCAATTTTCCAAGTGGATAAAAGTGGGTTTAGGCCATGCTGCAAAAGTCCAGGTCTTTCTTTTTTGATTTATTTACTTTTATTTTAAATGTATTGGTGTTGTGCCTGCAGGCACATCTGTGTGAGAATGTATTATTTTATATGTATTGGTGTTTTGCCTGCAGGTACATCTGTGTCAAAGTGTCAGATCTTGGAGTTACAAACACAGTTGAGTTGCATGTGGGTGCTGGGATTTGAACCTGGTTCAAAGCAGTCCGTGCTCTTAACCCCTGAGCCATCTCTCTAACCCCGGAACTCTAGTTTAGCACACAGAACCCAGGGCCTGGCAAACTCTAACCACGAGCTCCACCCCTGACTATACCTTCCTCTGTTATCTGCGATACTCTAAGGTCCCCAGTCATTTTAACATGCTCCTAATATTGGTAAAAAGGATTGATTATTCAAAGCGGCAGACTGGAATATTTGTTAAAATGTCTTTAGTAATTTGTGTAGTACTTAGCATTACAGGAATCAGTAATTTTACAACACTTACCAAGGGCTATCTATGATAGTTTATAATGAGATTTTACTTACCCAGAAAGTAAAAATGATCAGAATATTTTTATTCCCTTTGTATTAAGGATAGACTAAATATTTAAGCATTTCAACAGTGTCCATAAAATAGAGGCAGGCAATTTCAATTAAGTGTGCACAATTTCTGTCTTCTGAAACTCTACAGCTCATAGTTTATACTGTTTTTCTTAATACATGTAATATTCTTCTTTATAGTACTATACTACAATTTATATTTTTGCTTTTAGTTCTACTGTGTTCATTTAGGGCAGGGATTAAGTCTGTCTTACAGCTGTATTCCCTGTCCTAGAGCAGAGATTTCTTCACAGTATTAAATCAAATGTTTGACTTAAAAAACACACCAGTTCCTTGTTAGCTATCATCAATTTCATTTTTATGAGCTAGTCTTTGGCCCTCTATAATTATCTCTAGGTTTAGAAATCTAGATATTATGATCATGGTCTTTTAAAGTCAGACAACAAATTAGATTGATTTTTCTTAAAACAGTTATGACTACAAAAACATTTGTCATGTGAGTCAGGTACAATGTTGCTAGTTCGCTCTGCCCCTTTGTAATACTGGTGTCTCTAGCATTTCTCATTCAAGAAATCTGTGTGTGACACTGAGGTGAAATACTTGACCTCATTCTAAATTTTATGAACTGTGAGGGAGACATTTAATCTTAATGTTTAAATAAGCTTTCTTGGAATATATGGCAAATATCAAGTCAAAGAAGTATCTACTAGTGGGATATTTGAATAGCATTCATCTAATGCTACTGTAATACAAAATTCTTAATTGTAATGAGTGACTATTGAGTTATTATATTATAAAACTCAGGGATAGAATGTGTTCTCTCATTATATAAATAACATTTCATGTTTTCACATTTAACAATTGAACTGCTTTAAGTCTATCGCCACATTGAGTTAAGTGAATTTTGTTAAGATGTGTTCCATAATTTTAGTACAAATAATATTAGAGGATGTGTTTTATTATGTTTCAACAAAATGTAATTCCTCATTTTTGTTACTCAATAATCCTTGAACACTTAGATACTTAAGAATAAATTCTAATTGTGTTCAAATATTTCAAAATAGTGAGACAAAAATGTGAACATTTAAATTTAGCAAATTCAGAAATTCTTCATTTTGAAGAGAAAAAACAGATCAATGGAAGGTTTCAAAAGAAACCCAGAAAAAGGTGATGCAGAAGTTACTTTACAGGTGAAAAGTCTAATTTTACACCACACTCATGACTGCTTCACGAATACGTAAAGAAATCATGTAAAGATGGTTTCTCTCGGTTAATTTGAATACAGACCAATTCACTCAACACAAATGCCAATCTAATCTGACAGTTACATGAAACGTTTGGGGTTTTTCTAACATTGTTGGTAGCTATGTAGTCCACAATATTTAACTGTGATTGAAATTTTACTCTACGGGGACCAGAATGGTCTCGTTTGTTTTTACTGATTTAGGCAAGGTTTTTTTCCCCCCTTCCTTTTTTTACAATTACTGTAGGGGCGAAGGATTAATTCCACTATCCGGTTTAATTTATGAAGCCTTCGGAATAGCTCAAGAGAAAGATAATAGGAATGTAGTTATGTAAATTAAGACACTTGACTCTTGAAGGGCATAAACATAATTTAGATGTTACCACCGAAAAACAGCTTCACCATTTTTCATGCTAAAAGAGCAAAAGTACTCGAGCCCATTTAGGATTAAATGCCCAGCTTCCTGGTTGCACACTGTTAAGAAGCAGCCTCTTGTATTGAGGACCTTGTCACCATCGCCCGCGGGCCCAGGTGGCTCTCTAAAGGCGTTTCTGCCTAACGGGGAGGAGTGCCAGCTCCGTGGCATCGGCTCCATAGGGGCCAGGGTGGCTCCCAGGGTCCCAGCCCGGAAGTGTCGCCTACCTTAACTGGGTGCAGATAGCCGTCGCCTCTCAAGGCGCCCAGACCGGGGTCTCCCGGCGCCTCGGTGTCGTCCTGCAGGCTGCGGGTGAGGTGGGCGATGTAGGTGGTGGCCAGCAGCAGCACGTCCAGCTTGGACAGCTTGGTGTCGGGCGGCACCGACGGCAGTGTGCGCTGCAGCTCCAGGAAGGCGTGCCGCAGGGTCTGCACGCGGCTGCGCTCCCGTGCGGCGTTCGCGGCGGCAGGACGGCCACCCCCGGAGCGCGCCGCCACCCCGCAGGAGCCCGTCTGCCCGGCCCCGGTTCGTGCCGGGCTCGACTCGCGGGCGGCGGTGGACGGGGCGGGCTCGGTGCTGCGAGGGCTGCCGGCTGGACCGCCGCGCTCCATAGCGGCTCCGGCTCCGGTTCCCGCGGCGAGCACTGCAAGGGAGCGGGGCGGCCGTGAGAGCGGGCACCGCGGGCTTGCCCTCGAGTCCCCAGTGCTGGGCGGCTGCTGAAGGCGCACAGGGCTCCCCCGGGCCCCGCAGAGCCGTCCCTCCCGCCCTCCCGGGGAGATGGTGCCGCGGGGCTCCCGCCGCACCTCGGACTTGCCTCCTCACCTTTCCCGCAGCCGCCGTGCGTGCGGCGCTCGGGTGAGCAGTGAGAGGCGATCAGGGGCGTCGAGCAGGTCACTCCATCCGCGTCCAGCCTCTGCTGTCGCCTTTTATGCGGGTGCCCAGACCCAGCAAGTGGGAGGCCCGCACAGGCACGTTGGGCGAGATGGGCGCCCACCCGAGCCCCCTAGGCGAGGGGCAACGGCGTCGCGGAGCCGCCCCCTCGGCGGACAGACTCATCAATCAAACCGCTCGGGGGCGGGACGGACACCTGGCCCCGCCCCCGAGCCGCTCAGGACCCCGCCCCCATGTCGCTCCGGGGCCCAGCGACTGGATACAGCTTGACTTTCACCTCCCGGTGCGTCCCTGCCCGCTGTTTATGCAGTAGAACCCCTTCCTCGGTACACCGCGATCTAGAGACCCCCATCGACCCCTCCCAGCCTTTGCACCAGCGCGCCCAGGCTTAGACCGGATCAGACCCACCCCGGAGAACCCGCCGGTCTGGTCCCCGCATCTGCGGGACCCAGCTCTGCAGCCCGCACCGGCCTTTGCGGGGAAGCCACCCCGGACACGGTCCTCGCCGCAGCCCAGCCAGACACGCTCCAGACCGGAGGCTCAGAGCATCAGATGTGAACTGTCACAGAGGACACTGCTCGCTTACAGATTCTTGAACATTTCCCAGCAGATTTGTGACTTTCCACGTCGGGATTACCAAACCACAGATAGTAGCTCAGCACTACTTACACCGCGATGAACTAACTAGACATGTTGAATGTTAGTGAACCAGGGTGATCCCTAGCTGCAATGGACTATAGGTTTAGAAAGCACGCCCAGATTCCATAAATTCAAGGACTCGTATGCAATAAATAAGAAACCACATTTTATTTCCTGGTAAATTTTATTCAACAACTAATAGTAAACAGATCCCGGAATTCACACACGAAAGTAAAGTCTCAGATTCTAAAAGAAACAAATCAAACAAGAACTTACACGCCGAGATAATCGAAGCCTACAAACCATCATAACACGCCGTTGCTTAGCTCTATGAAGAAATCAAATCAAGCAAGGCTGAATTTATTCCTTTTCCTCATACAAATTTTCCTTTACTTTTGAGTTTTGGAGAAGGTGAGGTTCATGGATATTATTTTTTGTTAGCAAGCTTTCAGATTCCTTCAAAGACAGATTCCTGTATTTACAAACAAAAACAACATGCCAGCATTTAATTAACTTGATATGCAAAAATAAATAAACAAATAAATAAAGGCAGACATAGAACCCAGGACACACTAACTGTGGTAAAGTCACAAAGCTAGTCGGGCTTTTAAACAAAGAGAAACAAAACATTTCCTGCTTTGGGAGGTACACGGAAATGAGGAGGTCAGACCACGCAGGGGTGCTGGAGTCTTTAACTTTTGCCCCAATCTCAAAGGTTTCAATCCAGCCTGGTGTGCACCCTGGACAGCAGGGACTGGTGTTCACAGATCAGACCGCCCAGCCTCTCTTTTTGTTCCCTATTTGCTACTGTAGACAGACTGATTCTAAGTCCAAATTGCTGAGACTAGTATTTTCAGTGACTTTAAATATAGGTAATCCTAAAACTCTATTATTATGTAACTAATAAGTAAAAAGTGCCATATGGCGCTTTTCATGTGCTGATTACTTAGTGGGTATTTTCTCATTTCGCCTTTACAAAAACCGAGGGTTTTACATTTTACAGGTGGGAGGTAGGGTTCTCCGGGATTGGGCAACGTGTCCAGTGTAGCACATCTAGTAAATGGCTAAGGTGGGGTCAAGCAGAGTAGATTGTCCCTAACATTTATGATCTTTACAGTACTATTGAGTGTTTGCATTTTGCAAAAGTTTTTGTGTCTATTAAGATACATATTTTAGATTGATTGACACCTTATTAGCAGACCAAATATATGTTCATAGTGTATCTCTCTTTGAAGTTCTTAGTTATCTAGTTTTCCAAAAGTATGATTTTAGAATGCCATAGATTTTATTCATTGAGTGTGGTGTAAATCTTTTAAATATGTTACATTGTAATGATAGGATTGTCTTTATAATAAAAGCTAAAAAGCAAATATCACATAGCAGAGAATAAAATATTTAAAAATTTTATATTATACATATATTTTGTATATATTAAACCATAAACTGGTTTCAACTATTTCCCTCATTGTTTAAAATAAAGAATAACTTTTAGCCTGGTACAGTGGTTTAATCCCAGCACCCAGGAGGCAGGCAGGCAGATCTGTGAGTCTGAGACCAGCCTGATCTACATTTCAAGTCCCAGGACATCCAGAGCTATACAGAGAGCTCAAAATAAATAGATAACTTTTTACAGTTAAATTTATCATTTGAGTATATAGTTTAGCAAGTTTGGGAAATGTATACAGTACTATGGCTTCCATCAGGATAAGGACACAGACACCTCCATCATCTGCAACAATTCCCTTTTCATGGTCATCCCTTTCTCCCACCCCGAGTTCCTGGCAAGTCCTGATCCGTTTTCTGTCACCATGGATTCCCCTTTGCCAGAATATCGCACAAATAGAAGCACATAGTAGGTTTCTTTTAGAGTCTCAGTTCTTTCACGTAACAAGGTTTTTGAGACTCATTCATGTTGAGTATATCGATGGTTCATTTTCTCCCATTGCTGAGTAGCATTCTTAATGTGTGTGTGTATGCACATATATACATACACATATGTATTACAGATTATTTATTCATATCCCACTTGAGATATATTTGATTGTCTTAAACATTTAATGATTTAAAATAGACCATTCTAAACACCCAGGTAGAGTTTCTCTTGAGTATAGATTTTCATTTAACTTAGGAAAATTTCTTGAACTATATATTTAACTTTACAATATATCAAATTATTGTGCTAAGGGCCGCCTGATTCTGCATTCCCATTTTTAGTGCATGGGTTCTAGCAGCTCCATCTCTGATCAGTATTTAGAGACTTATTTTTATTTCTTATCCATTCTAATATGCTGGTCTTCTTTGTGTGTATGAGGCAGGGTGTGTGTGTTTGCACATGTTAACAGGTATATGCTGGTGTTTGATCCTCACCAGTTCGGCTGGGCTGGCTAACCAGTGAGCATCCAGGCTCCACCCATCCCCAATAGTGCAATAGTGCTGTCTGCAGGCCTGTGCTGCGGTGCTGGACTTTAGGGGGTGCTGGAGATCTGAACTCAGGTCCTCTAGTTTGTGCAATATGCACTTTACTGACTGAGCGAGCCATCTCTCCATGGTTCTAATGTATTATTGTTAAAGACAAAGACTGAGTCAATGTTTACTTAAATCAAATGATTTTTACAACCTAGAGTCCTTTCATGCCAGACACTCTCATGTCACAAGTCCACATACACTGCTCTCAACCCGAATGGCTGCAGGTGCCTCCAGCCGCACAGGGATGAGACTGTCCATTCACCCCAGTCACTTCCTCACCTGCTTGCCTTCCTGGACCTGGGACTATACTTAGCAGAGTCGATCAGAGCTTGACTGATTAAGTCAGAATATTCTTTTATTAAGAGTTCTAGTATTTAAAATTGTTTGTGTAATAAAGACTTACCTTTCAAAATATAAACCTTTTAGAATGGAAAGTAAGAGTTATGCTAAATTAGGCTTATATAACTAGTTTATAGAGTAAGCTATTGACAGCACCGAAGGCAGACTTTCCAAACACTTGCTTAGTCTTTTAGAATGGAAAATCTTTATGATGCTTCCCGTCATTGCTCTTGGGTGGGGTATCCTACTCTCAAGAGAATTCTTGGAGAACTGCAGATCAAAATGTTAACATTTTATCTACATTGATACACACAATGTTTATTTGGTACATGAAATTAAATATACTTTAGGAAAGAGTAGCAAAGCAAAACTAAGGGCATTTTGACTTTGCAAGTGCTTCTATGTAAAAGCATCCTAGAATTTTAGGACTAAAAATATTATCACAGTTCTTAAAATTCTTTTTGAAGCACAGAGATCTGTTATTACAACTGTTTAAACATACCCTTACCAGTCATGAAAGCCAGGTATTTTAACCATTGAAATTCACTGTTAATTCAAAGACACTTTTTCCCACAGTTTAGCAAATAACCTTAGCTAGGGATTTCATAAATAGTTAACCAAAACAGAGGGGCATGGATATTCCTGAGAATTACGAGTTCCAGGGTTTCATGTTCCTTAAAGATGTCTGAAACCCAGCATAGCCTAACCCGTCTGAAAAGGTATTTTTACATTAGCAAAATACATGGGTCTGTGGTTATCAGCATTGCTTGCACTGGAGAGATAGTTAAGTAACTGATTGCCTTCTTCACAGTATAGTGTCCTACAGTGCTCTGGGTGGATCTTAGGAACAGCATACATGGATTTAATGTCTATTTTTAAATCACTAAGGTTCAAGCACTCCCTAGCATATTTGAAAAGGGAGGAAACATCTGTCAGAATTACTTATGGTGACAACTACAGAGGAAAGCAATAATATGTACTGCTCTTGCTTACTTAATACCATACATTGTTTTTAATTGAACAAGGAAAGCATTTGTTCACAATCAGCCTTTAAATAAAAAATAGGTTAGAGCCAATCTTTAATTAAAGTGTACTTTGATAGTATCAAGTTCAGTTTGAGGGTCACAAACAACGTCAATAAGTCTGACTTTTTTCTCCCTGCAGGGAAAGCAGGCTTGTGTAAATATACACGTGTAGACTACATGCATTTATAGGAGACGGGGAAAACATTCCCCTGTCTTCAGACAGATGTTGCTTTGCAGCGCTCCATTTTGCATACGGGCACAACTTGCAATGTGCAGAGC